GTAATTTTTTTGTTTAATTTAGTATTTTTTTTATTTAAAAACTGCAGCCTTGTGAGCATAAGAGACTTTTTCCAAAAAAATCTTAATGAGCCCAAACTTTTGAACAGTAGTGTATATATACAGTATAGAAATACATATTAAACATATTTTAATTTAATCCAAATTATTTATAGAAATATATTTTAAGAAAAATGAAACATTTTAACAAAATTATTTAAACTGATTAAGGAAAAAGCACACCACTTTTTACTTGTTTTTTATGGTTTTCTGAGTATTTCTTTGTCTTTCATTTCTCCCTCTGCAGAGTTAATAATACCTCCCACAGGAAACGTCTTCTATGCCATGTCTTCAGCTAGCGTAGACTTCCTGTTAAGGAGAAGAGGAGGAAATACACCAACAGGGTCTCCGAATCTTGGCAACGAAACCAGCGCAACCTTTCCACGAATCAAAGCCAAGGGCAGAAGACTAGTCCGGACACTATTTTAACATAAAAACAGGATATTCACGTCCAAGTACTTTCAAAAGAAAAGACACAAAATATTTCATTCAGAGCTCTTTGACGTAACTGTAGAATTTACTCAAATAAGTCATTTTCATAAGTCCTAATATTAGTAATTTGAGTGACAGCTTGGTTAAAATGGCTTGGTAACTAAGATGTTAGTTACTGCTAAACGTTGCACTGTTTTTGCATTTCATAAATTCATAATGAATTTCAAGACAGAATCACGTACCTTTTGCTGATGCCAGCATTTCCAGTGCTTCCCCCGTCTACCTCTAAAGCTAGCAGTCCATTGGTTAAAGAATATTGCTCAAAATCCTGCATTATTAATGAACATCAAATGGAGATAGAGCAGCTAAAAGATCCCAGTATAATTAAATAAACACTTACAGAAGGTACTTACACCTGTCTAACATTTCAAAACACTGAGCTGTTCTGCGTGGGCAAAAAGCGGGCAAAAAGCTACTGAAAAAAACCCACCTACCTGAAGATGAGTCGCAAAAACCACTGCCGCTTTAGAATTTCCTCACCAAGTATGCAGCTGATAGTTGCTTACTATGCGCTTTCTCTTTAAAGATTAATTATGGCTATGGTATATGGTTATGGTGACTCTGTTCCAAAAACCGAGTAAAAAAGTTTGTGTAAAACAATCTAAGGCAACAAATTCATAAGTGACCAATTTGAAACACCCTTCATTGGCAGGCCGAACAAGGGAGACTTTACAATTGATTTCAGTGGTTTGTTTCTAAGCGAACAGCACAATAATCTAGTAAGAATAATAATACACTACTTTTCAAAAGTTTGGGGTCAGTAAAATTTTTCGAAAGAAATTAATACTTTTATTCAGCAAGGTTATTATAGTTAACTAAAACTAAATCTGAAACTAAAATTAGAACCATAAAAACATTTTCATTAAAATAAATGTTAACAAATAAAATGGAATTATATATATATATACAGCTAACTGAAAGGCAACATTTATCATTTTAATAAAAATTTATACAAATTGTATAGACATGTATAAACAACTACTAAAATGACAATAACAACAAAATTACTAAACTGAAATTATAAAAAATAAAAACCGATTCAAAATATTAATAATAAAAACAATAATAGTATCTCTGTGATGCTAAAATAACAGCAACATTTCATTAAATTTATCACAAGCAACTGTAAGCACATTTATAATGTTACAAAATATTTATATTTCTAGTAAAAAAAAATTATTACCTTCTATTCATCAGAGAACCCTGAAAAAATGATGCTGAAAATTCAGCTTTGATCACAGGAATAAATTACATTTTAAAATATATTATAATACAAAATTGTTATTTTGAAGTTAGTTATATTTTCAGAATATTACTGTTTTTATTGTATTTTTGATCAAATAAATGCAGCGTTGGTGAGCATAAGAGACTTCCTTCAAAACATCCCAAAAAAAATCTTACTGACTCCACACTTTTGAAAGGTAATGTGTGTACAGTAGCACAAAAATATTGAATAAAATAGTCAATTTTAATCGTATTTACCTATTTTTTTTATTACTAAATTCCAGTATTGAATGAAATGTAATCATTTCCACATTCTGGGTATACATAAAAATAAGCCAAAAGAAAGCGTTTAAGAAGGCAGCATGATCATGCAGCCTACATTTGGAACAGGCTTTGAGTGTGGAGCACCTATAATGCTTTAAAGTGCTGCCTATGTAGGCAGCTCACTAGGTTTTGGAACAGAGCTGAAAGTGTGTTGTACTGCAGGTCTCCAGTTCTCTGATACCAAATCAACTCCTTTAAAAAAATGCAACAAAGCTTTGCCTGTGACATTATTTTTGTCCCGACAAACGCTACGATCATCAAAAATACCCTAATGAACCTTGCGTTCTCTTTCTTGCATGCTGTTGATGTCTCTGTGGGAACTGAGGCATGCGAGAGCTCTCAGCACGGAAGAGGGGTCAGTTTCATTTCAGGCTTTGGTTATGTTCGGAACAGCATACTATCATACTACACTCACATATAGTATGCAAATGTCTGTATATCTACTACATTTGCCAAAAGTTTTTATTTTTCTAAGATGATAACTGGTCGCCACATGCAATGTGAAGAGGCCATGTGACAACAAATGTAGGATACTACAGTTTTGAAAGCTTATCTTGGAAAAATGGCAACTGTTTCAATTACTCTTTAATGAAAATAGTAGATACATTGAGTAAGTAGTAAGTTAGTATTCCCTTCCGATCATGGTCTTTGTTTTTGGTCACTGGTTTGTTAAGTGCCTTATTCTCAGGTGCTCTTGTGTGATTGTTGTTCCGGTGTGTTGCGCAGTGAAAAGCATGTTGCAGCTTCAGTCCTGTACCGTCAGATCTGTATTCTGACACCTTTATGCACTACATACCTCCTATTCTTGTAATAAACTTTAATTTTGATACAACTGACAGCTTTTAGACCCGATTCTTGCCTTCAAGATCTCATTATTGATTGATATAGGTGTCACATGTAATTTAAGGATTGTTAAAAAATAAGTTTGTAGGTACTGCACTCACAACAAGCAGAAATAGAAACATTTATACTGACTAAAACATGTCAGATTTTTTTTTTTTTAATTCTATTAATTTCCATGACACTTCATGGCTTTTATGTATTTATCATTCTACTGTTGCTGGACATATTAATAAGAACATATTGCTAAAAAATAGACTGACTAAAAGGTACCACAGTAATACAGTTTTCTGTACATAAACCATGGCCTGTTTAGGTTGGCATCAGAGAGAGAAAGCATTGTTTGTGTGTGTGTGTGTGTGTGTGTGTGTTTGCAGTCAAATGAAATGATCACTCTCTGATTGCTTAAGCACTTTTATCCCTCCTACACCAATGATAACACCTAAGTGCTGATTATGAGCAGCTGCGTTGGGGTAGAAGAGAGCTTTACAAAGCTCCTGGGATGATGGGGTTCTCAGTGTTGGCCAGTACACAATTGTGGCTAGCTGGTTGATTAGTGTCCTGCTCATTTTGTCTTCTCTGCAGCTATAAAATAAAAATAAATTATTTATTTATTTAAATAAATTATATAATTATTACACTGTTAAAATATTGTTTTTTTTGAAGTTGTGAAGATTATTCTAATTTATTTGTAAAGAAGTTGTAAGATTATTGGGGTATATTTTACAAGAAAAGTGAAAAGTGTTACATGTTTATTTGTAATTTCTAGTGTTTTTTAATAAAATATTATATTATTTTATAATATGAAAAACATGGGTGTATATATTATATAATTTCATAAAATATTTTACATTTTATTTATAAAGAAATTGCTAAAATTGCAAAGAAACAACACTGAATTTAATGCGAATTAGTCTGAAATAGTACTGAATTTAATGTGAAATATATATATATATTCAGCTTAGGCATGACAGGAAAACTTTTGAGTATATTTTACTGTATTTTTGATCAATTAAAAAAAAAAACTTTTGAATGGTAATGTATACTATACATATTACTATTATTATTATTTACACTAATCTCCCATTTTCTTTGTTTTAATGTACTGAAGTTACAGTATATTCATTCATTTAGGCCTCTTTTTGAGCTCACTAGTGGATGCTTTAGTCACCCTGAGTTATTCAGCATATTTTGCAGTAGCCCTGAATTTGTGAAAACCTAAAGCAGAAAAACAAATGTAATTACAGACACATGAAGTGCTTTTATTTTCCTCAATGTAATACAGCAACAAAAGCTGAAGGATTAAACACATCTTTACTATACACATCCCAGCCTAATTCCCATAATGCACTTCTGGCTTCTTGAGGTTCGAGATAATGTGTGGAGTTCCGGTGCCACTCAAGACACCTAATTGCAACACTGTCTCAAGTTTGAGGTTTGGCTACCCATTTGTTTAAACAACAGTTTAAAATTTGATTCAAAATAGACATTGTTTTGCCTTATAGTTTAATCCTGCAGAAATTACACTCTCACCTTCTAACACTTATTTAAAAAAAAAATGTGATCATAGCACAAGCAAATATTCATATATACAGATTTAAAAAAACAAAGCTGTACCGTATTAAAATCAAATTTATAGCCAGTTTTGCCAAAGTTATTATACATGAGATGAATTTAAGATTGCAATCATAAATGTACACTCCTGTTGCATTTGCATTTAAATCAACTACCTTATTATTGCCCTAAAATTGCTATATATATATATAAAGTGTTTGACCTCATAATCATACCTGTTTGACACCTACACTGGCTGCCGTTCTGCATGACCCTGATTTTGAATTCTTTATTCTGTGTCCCGCTTCAGCGATACCGTGCGGCTTTATCACACGTCTGCACTTCTCCACCACAGGTCTCACACTGCAGGGCTGCCGATCGATAGGCCTTCCACACCGCAGCATCCTGACGGCACACTGTACCTCCGCCTCTCCTTTCCTCCGCCTCGTCACGGTTAATATCTCCTACGCAGACCCAGCCGCTAGACGTCCCACTTCCAGCACTGCTACCCATACTGACGGCCCACTTCGAATGGTCCCCTGTAGCCTTAAACGTAACTCTCTGGCCTGGGGAAATGAGATCTATGTTGAGGACTTTCCAGCTTGGAGAGCAGTCTGAGGGAAGGATGCCCGTGGAGCGACGCCAGAACTGAACCAGCAGGTCGGACTGAAGTGTAGGTGCCACCCAGGAGTGATACAGATCTGATTATGAAAGAAACAGTGAAAAAGTGAGGATTACTTCTTATTTTTTATAAAATGCATAGACTGTAAAAAACAATTTTTCGAAGTTGTAAATAAAACAAAGATTATTGGAGTATTTTACCAGAAAATACTATTTCAGTCTTTCTACTTCAAAAATTCACATTAAATTCAATGTGTTACCCTGCAGTTTCTTTGTAATTATTTGTGAAATTTACCAGCAATTTCTGAGTTAAAACTGTTTTTAGTAAATCTTACATCTTTTTTTTTTTGTGTGTGATGGAGTCCAATTTTAGTGAATTAGGCATGGTTTTTTAATACTAAAATTAATTTGACCATTAAAATGGAGTCCAGAAAAATTTAAACATAACTATTTGTGAAATTTACCAGCAATTTCTGAGTTAAAACTGTTTTTAGTAAATCTTACATCTATTTTTTTTTTGTGTGTGATGGAGTCCAATTTTAGTGAATTAGGCATGGTTTTTTAATACTAAAATTAATTTGACCATTAAAATGGAGTCCAGAAAAATTTAAACATAAATAAACAGAATCTAGAAAAATTAAAACGGAAAAAAAATATTTGGGAAAAAAAATAAAATAAAAAAATAAAATGGAAATATTAAGCAGATTTCATAGGGCTCTAGGTGTGTATACAAGTTGAACTTCTTTTAACTTGGCAAGTGTTTCATGGAATAAAATAACAGCAAGATACATCACAACTGTCAAATATGTCAATCTAGTACATATTTACATAGAAAAATGATTTAAAAAACATATTTGTTTAACAAAAAGAGCTAAATGTTTAAATCTTGATCGTTTAACTCATTTGGCTGCCGTTAAAGTGTCACTTTCACCATTATATCAGTATTAAAAATGAGTCTTACCATTGGCAAATGATGCACCTTTTGCAAAGTTAATGAACTCTGTCCCAGCCAGTGAGAGGAGTGGGACACTGCGATTGGATGGCGAGGAGGAAGTGTTGTCCCATCTGCCCAGCGTGTGTTTACAGAGCTGAGCCATAGCAGGTACAGCAGCGGCCAAAGAAGCAGGGATGCTGCAGTCATATATGTGAGGCTGATTGATTTTCAACTGCTCACCTGTGGAAAACATATATCACAGAAATAAAATGCATTACAAGATATATACACACACACAAACATATTACTGAGAAATAATTACATTCCATAAAAATATATTACAGGGAAATAAATTACATTATATAAAATTATATTACATTACCATAAGAAAGACAAACAACAAAATAACAAAATAAATAAAATTAAATTAAACTACAATATTAATAATAATGGCAATAATAATTAGTATTTTTACAATTGTTGTTGTTTTTATAATTATTATTATTGTTGTTAATATTCTTATTATTATTTTACAACAACAACAACGATAATAATAAGGAAATATATTACAGAGAAATAAATTACATAATATGAAAATCTATTACATTACCACAAGAAAGACAAACCACAAAAAATAAAATAATAAAAATAAACAACAATAATAATAATAATTATTATTATTATTATTATTGTTGTCTAACTGTAGGCTGGTTATGGTATCCAAGCTAATAATAATAATTAAAAATGTTTTGTTAAAAGTTTTGTTGTTAATTACCATATTACTCACTGTTTTACAGAATAAATAAGCCGCCTGAAACCATGCAAAGGGGGTTTTAGGCACTTCTGAAACATACAGCCTTGACTCGTACAAACTTTCCCAACCCTGTTCCTGGAGACACACCAAAAATACACATTTTGTATGTCTCCCTCATCTGACCCATATATTCAGGCCTTAGTATCTCCAGTGACAAGCTAATGAGCTGAATCAGGTATGTCTGGTGTTTGGTTAAGAATAGTTTAAAATGTATACTGCTGGTGTGCCTCCAGGAACAGGGTTAAGAAATACTGGCTTATTGCTTTATTACTTTTATCGGAAAGTCTGATAATACTGTGATTTACAAGACTAAGCACAAGACAAAATGGACCGAAAGAGCAGCACAGTGAGAGGTGTTGTCACTATGGTTACTGTGTCAGACGGATTACTCTAACAGTCACTATGGCAACTGCATCCCATAAATGTTTTGTCTTTAGAAATTGCACATGAAAAGGTTAGGTGAGAAGCATTTCAAGCAGCATTTCCAACATCAGACTCACTTTAAATCAAGCATATGAAAATGTAAAACATGCATAGATCATATTAATCTTGTTCACTTTAACACACCTGATTCATACTTACAGTCACAAACTATAGCATTAAAGGGATAGTCCACCCAAAAATAAAAATGTACTCACTCTCATGTCATTCCAAACCTGTATGACTTTCTTTCTTCCACAGAACATAAAAGAAGATATTTTGAAGAATGTTGGTAACCAAACATTTTTGGTTCCCATCGACTTCCATTGTAAGGACAAAAAATACAATGGAAGTCAATGGGAACCAAAACTGTTTGGTTGCCAGCATTCTTCAAAATATCTTCTTTTATGTTCTGTGGAAGAAAGTCTTACATGTTTGGAACGGCATGAGGGTGAGTATTTGAATTTTTGGGTGGACTATCCCAGTGTTTAGACTCACTTAATGCAAAAAAGCCCATTTTTAACCATCACTAATTTGTCACATGTATTGGAGTCATACCTATGGTCTGAAAGCGCTCGAAAGGATATGTGACACAGATAAAGTTCTGTCCATTACTTATGCCAGAACTGGGGTATGAAAACTGTCCCTGTGATTTAGGAGGGGGGAAATGAGGCGTGCTGTGGACCAACCAGAAGCCCTGCTGTTTGTCGAAGACAACAACTCCTGGAACAAAGAAAAATAGTGTATATTAACACGATCCTCCATAAATGTTTGTTTGTGTTCCATTAATAGCATTTTAAGCAGTTAACTGCACTAAAACAGCACCTTTGGTGTGGCCACAAGACCTGGTTGCACCTCCAAAATGTGTCTGTTGTGGTGGCTGGTCATTATATAAGATGTATCCAACATCACCGCCCTGGAAGAAAGTTAAAGCTCAAAGTTTCTTCGTAATAAACATGACTGTATGAGATAATGGATCAGATGCCTTGTGAGGAGCGTGTGATCTAAAGCCTGAGTTCCTAAAGCATGTGACATAAAGCATTATGAAATATGTATGTGCACCTAAAGCCATAAACTTTAGGTGCTTTGTTACTTTTGAGTTTCAGTTTGATCTTGCTGCATGTGTGTAAACAGAAAAAAACTTTAGTAAATGTGATTCTAAATCTCAATAGATTTGACAAAGATTTATAATTAAGCCTTGCAATGGAAATGCAAACTCAGTGTTTTTATACTTCTGCAAAACTGGCAAAATGTGCAGACTACAGAACAGGATAAGCCGAGTAACTTCTCTAAAATCAGCCAGAAAATGACTGATAATGAAAGAACAGAAGATGGTTTAAGCAAATCTGAACGTTTCATTTTTTTAATTTAGATAATTTGTTATGTAAAGAGTGTGACCTGTACCTCATATAAAGGCCCTACTGTTCTACCAACAGCACTTTGACTGTCATTAACTAAAGTCTTCCCATCCATCCATCCCTCACTCTCTCCATCCATGAAAAGATACTTCAGCCCCTCCTGCACAGGCTCATGATGCAGGTGTGGGAGTTTGTACAAGTAAAACCTGGTAAGGAGAGACAGAAATAAGAGAAATATGACCCTTCACATTGATGATTACATTTTACATCGACTATATTTATGTATTAACCCACACTGTAAAAAAAACTTTTTTCTTGTAAATAAAACAAAGATTATAGAAATATGTGTTACAAGAAAATACACCATTTCAGTTTTTCTACTTCAAACTTTCATGTTAAATTCAATGTTACTTATGGTTTCTGTGTAGTTATTTGTGAACTTTACTAGCAATTTCTGCGTGAAAATATTCAAAGTGAATCCTACACCAAATATAACAATAAAAGATCTCTCTACTGTAAATTAACAGAGAAAATAATTAACCTGTAATAAATTATATTATATTTGTTCTATAAAAATATTATATTATTAATATTAATACAAGTACTATTAGGCTACATTAAGTAGCCATTTCTGTTTACTTATATTGTTCTGCTGTGAATAAATAAGTTAATTAAGTTAATTAATATAAGGCCATGAAACTGCATATACAATAACTCAAAAATAAAGTTATTTCAAGTAGTTTTAGCTGAAGTACACTACCATTCAAAAGTCTGGGGTCATCTTTTTTTTTTTTTTTATGACTTATGGTCACCAAGACTGTATTCATTTAATCAGTGATATTTTGAAATATTATTACAATCTAAAAAAAAAAAAATCTATTTGAATATATTTTAAAATGTAATTTATTCCTGTGATCAAAGCTGAATTTTCAGCATCATTACTCCAGTCTTCAGTGTCACATGATCCTTCAGAAATCATTCTAATAAGAAACATTTTTATTATTATCAGTGTTGAAAACAATTGTGCTGCTTAATAATTTATGGAATCCTGTTTTTCTTTGATGAATAGAATTAGCATTTGTTATAATGTTATAAATGTCTTTACTGACACTTGCACTTTTTACTGTCACATCTTACTGACCCCAAACTTTTGAACAGTAGTGTACACTGGACACTGCTTGACATGCCATGTCAACTACCCATCATAATCATAGAAAATATATATAGCACTAGGACTTCAAACTATGGAATATTGTATAATAAAATACAGAATAAAACATTCATGACAGTGTACAAAGATGAACTGCCGTGCCTCTACAACTGTGATTCAAGATGCTGCATGTATTGTGTTTTTAGGTCATTTAAAAAATATATAAAATATACAAAAAAATATACAAACCAGTCTACAGGTTTCCCCTGATCATCATAACACGAGATGGAGGAAGACGCTCCTCCTGACGCATGAAGGAGGAGCAGGACATGAAACAACATGATGGAAGTGAAAGAACCTGAAACACTACAGCATTAATTTGTCTGTCAGTGTAAATCAAATGTTCAAATACAATAACAACTCTTCTCATCATCACTTTAACTCGGTTACAAAACTGCACGTTAACAATCTAAATATTCACTCTGGCATAGCGGTTTATTGCACTTAATACTTACGTTTTAATATACGTGTTATATTGCTTATGGTCTAATAACAAACTACATGACTGAACTACAAATAGCTAATAATTATCATCGGTATACTAGTTTGACATAAATTTTAACCTTACCTCAATGGAAGGCAGGCGTGCTGCTGATAGTGAAAAGGTGGATCTTGTCAGTCCACCAGAGAGCGAAACTTAATTCCTCATGTTGTCAACTGTAGCAGGTCCATTAGTTTCACATGCGGACATAGAATTATTTAGTGGATAGAATGGCATTTAGCTCTCATCGTAATGGGAGGGGATTGGTGACTGAGCATTTGTTTTCTTTGTGGGTCGGGTAATAATTATTTTCTTATTTGAACTTTCCACTGTGCATTTTCAATTCAATGGTATTAAAGTTTTTCAGTGTCATTATTCGTGTATTTAATATTATTCACAGCGCTGGTAAAACAGTACGAAGGAGACTTTGTCACGAGGTAACTGTTACTTTTCTCAGCGCCAATCAGGACGAACCAATCACAGTCGTTTGTGGTGAGTTGATCAGGTATTTTTTTTAAATATTTTTTTTTAGCGATTGCTGGGACGGATTTCCATTTGCATGCCAGATAACAATCCTTGGAATTTATGTATTTAAAATATGCAAACGTTTTACTGTACAGTTGTCTCTAATTAAGCACTAAAATATCCTGAGTTTTGAATGGCGTCAATGGAGTGCTCGGCATCCTGAGCGCCAGTGCGCCTCCTAAAGGAAGCCAATTTTTTCATTTACTGCCATACAGATAAGTGCAGCACGAGTGAAATAACCGCATCTGAACACCGGAAGCGATTTCGTTTGTGAATATTATTTCGGATACTTAACTTTTGGTTACAAACAAAGTACAGCCCTTCTGGAAGTGCGATTGATCTACATTAATATTCATAAGCACGGGGAATCTACACGCAAAACAACACGAAACGTCTATCAGAACAATTATTATAAGAACAATTATTGTCCTTTTAGTAGGTTTTATTTTGTAACTTTAAGAAATGCTTCAAAATCACTCGTAATAAAATAAAATAAAATCGATTCTGTGCTTCTGTCTGAAACTTCGTATTAATGCTGATGGCAGTTTGAAGCCAAGCTTGATCTGCTTATTAAGCAGTTAATTCAGCAAAGTAAGAATTTCTTTATTCATTTCCTTCTTCTGAACTTCCCTTCTAGGATTAGTTTTTGTCCTCAGAAATGTATAGTGTGGCATAATTTAGAAACGTCTGTTTTGCCCCTTTCCATCTTATATTACGAATCACGTTGCTTTTAGACTGTATTTCTGCAATTACAGCTTAAGACTAAGACAATTTAAACATATAGGCCTAAATTTGAATAGTCGTGCATATTAGTTGATGTAAGCAGACAAAATATATATCAGTGTCCCATTTGACAGATTTACAGTCACACTCATTATGGATTCATTTAACGAATGTTTCTCTTTAAGAAATTGTATTTGAATTTTTTTTTTTTTTTACCACAAGAGGTCGCTGCGGTGTTTTAAAAACATAATCTTATTATCCTCGTACCACCGTGAGGCTGTAATCGTAGTTACATTGATGAATTCACAGCCATGAGCACACTGTAGCAAAATTGATTTTCCTATAGGCGGGTTGTGCTTGTGGTTACTATGCCTTCACAACAAATACTACAGTACAACTCTTGTTCCTGTAATAAAACCATAGTTTATTTCTATAAAAGGTAGTTTTACTTCAACAAATCCCACAGTTAAACATGTTTCTGTAGTCAAATCTGAGTAGATTTCAATAAAAAACAGTACAGTATTTTTTTACAGTAGTAAAAGGGAGTTTTACTTGTGGTTTCAGCTATTTAAGTACCACAGTTAAACTCTTGTTCCTGTAGTAAAACCATAGATAATTTTAGTTAAGTATTGTGGTTACTGGTTTTAGTGTGAATACATAAGTTACTCTATGATTGCTGTGGTAAACCCATGGTTCATTTTCATAAAAAAATATGTGGTTACTTTAGTTTTTTTTATTTTTGAATTCTCTTGACACCGCCAAAACAGATTCTTTGAAGTTACGCTAATAATTAATCATTGTAAGCACAAAAACGATATGTTCCCTGTCATATAATTGTAAACAACTTTCTGAAAAATGTCAGGGCTAAGAAACCATTTCTAGCTTTTAACATAAGAAAAGATTGATTTTTTAAATTAAGGAAGGCGGCAAAGTGAATGTGTTTTAAAAGACATGTTTCCTGCTGCCTTGTTTCCTTTTAACATGTTTTGTGTGTGAACAGGAGGGATGTGGATGTCAGCAACTTGTGGTTATTGCCCTGTGCACCTTGCTGAAGGTGGCGTAGAGTTTCACTGGAGACAGAGACAGAGTTTAGAGGCTCAGAGAGACGGGAGGTGAGACAGTGGGATGGCCAGCCTGTCACCACCCTTCAACTTCTGCTTTCTCTGGCTCAGCGTCCCACACTGTCAGTCTGGTGTCATTCAGCTCCCTCTTCAACACATGTGCGTCCACAGACGGCTGGCAGCGCTTGCTGAAGAACATCAGAAACAGGTAGTGTTACATCAAAACCAGGTAGGCTACTAATTTCTTGATTATTCTTGAAGTTACTTACAGTCTTTCTTGTTTTTACACACAAACAGGGCTGAGATGTGGGTGCACATAATTGTGACCTCTGTGCTTCTTCTGTCAGGTAATTTTGGACGGGTATCTTGTGTTTTTATACAGATAAATGGATGCATATTGCAGCTACTCTGACTCTATTCTGTGCTCTTATGTTACCTGAGTGTCCTTGGTGCACAGGTTATTTATAATGTATCGATCTGTGTTTTTTCCTGTTTTTTTTTTGTTTTTTTTCCACAGGAGTCAACAGCGCACACCTTACTAAGGTCAATACCCGGCCTCTGATTACTCTTCTGTTGCTTTATAGGAGTCGGGGCAAGTAAATGGCTGGTGTATTTCTCCAGGACGGACATCTGCGTTTGGGCCGGGACCACGGTAACGCTGCCGTGCCGCTATGATTACCCCTCACCCTACAGCTCCACACGGGCCACATGGTTTCACATCTCTGCAGAAGGCAGACGGGAAATCGCCTACCATACTGATGGGAATATGTTGAGCCCCTCGTACAGGGACAGGATCAAATACATGGGGGGCCACAAAAGATGCAGTTTGCAGATCACGAACGCGAAGCTGAGCGATGCAGGAACATACCATTTCAGATTCGAGACCGACAACCAGCAGGGCCGATGGACCTCTCCTGATGCCATCACACTGTCCGTCACAGGTGAGGCCACATTTTAAAGGTTAATTTTTATGTTAAATAATATAAAAACAAGTTTAATATGTAGATGCAGCTATACACTGCTGTTCAAAAGTGTGGGGTCAATACTGTTTACAGTACTTTTATTCATTAAATTGATCAAAAGTGACAGTAAAGACATTTGTAATGTTACACAAAAACTCTATTTTAAATAAATGTTCAAATAAATCAAATCAATGTTCAAATAAATGTGAAAAAAATCTACAAAAATAGTATAGGTGTCACAACTGTTTTCAATGTTGATAATAAAAAGAAATGCTTGAGAAGCAAATCAGTATATTAGAATGATTTCTGAAGGATCATGTGCCACTGAAGACTGGAGTAATGATGCTGAAAATTCAGCTTTGCATCACAGGAATAAATTACATCTGAAAATATATTCAAATACAAAATAGTTATTTGAAATTGTAATAAAATGTCACAATATTACCGTTTAAAAAAAACCCTGATTATTCGACCAATGGTGGAAAGTAGGGATGCACCGATACCACTTTTTCCAGTACTCGCCCGATACCGATACTTTTATTAGCAAAATTGATTTTCCTATAGGCGGGTTGTGCTTGTGGTTACTATGCCTTCACAACAAATACTACAGTACAACTCTTGTTCCTGTAATAAAACCATAGTTTATTTCTATAAAAGGTAGTTTTACTTCAACAAATCCCACAGTTAAACATGTTTCTGTAGTCAAATCTGAGTAGATTTCAATAAAAAACAGTACAGTATTTTTTACAGTAGTAAAAGGGAGTTTTACTTGTGGTTTCAGCTATTTAAGTACCACAGTTAAACTCTTGTTCCTGTAGTAAAACCATAGATAATTTTAGTTAAGTATTGTGGTTACTGGTTTTAGTGTGAATACATAAGTTACTCTATGATTGCTGTGGTAAACCCATGGTTCATTTTCATAAAAAAATATGTGGTTACTTTAGTTTTTTTTATTTTTGAATTCTCTTGACACCGCCAAAACAGATTCTTTGAAGTTACGCTAATAATTAATCATTGTAAGCACAAAAACGATATGTTCCCTGTCATATAATTGTAAACAACTTTCTGAAAAATGTCAGGGCTAAGAAACCATTTCTAGCTTTTAACATAAGAAAAGATTGATTTTTTAAATTAAGGAAGGCGGCAAAGTGAATGTGTTTTAAAAGACATGTTTCCTGCTGCCTTGTTTCCTTTTAACATGTTTTGTGTGTGAACAGGAGGGATGTGGATGTCAGCAACTTGTGGTTATTGCCTCGTGCACCTTGCTGAAGGTGGCGTAGAGTTTCACTGGAGACAGAGACAGAGTTTAGAGGCTCAGAGAGACGGGAGGTGAGACAGTGGGATGGCCAGCCTATCACCACACTTCAACTTCTGCTTTCTCTCTGGCTCAGCGTCCTACACTGTGCTTCTGATGCCATTCGGCTCCCTCTTCAACACATGTGCGTGTCCATGTGTCCACAGACGACTTGGCAGCGCTCGCTGAAGAACATCAGAACCAGGTAGTGTTAGAGCAAAACCAGGTACCAATTTCTTGATTACTCTTGAAGTTACTTACAGCCTTTCTTGTTTTTACACACAAACAGGGCTGAGATGTGGGTACGTGTAATTGTGACCTCTGTGCTTCTTCTGTCAGGTAATTTTGGACAGGTATCTTGTGTTTTTGATACAATAAAATGGTTGTGATTGCGTATTGCAGCTCTAATCTGTGCTCTTATATTACCTGAGTGCCCTTGGTGCACAGGTTATTTATATTGTATTGATCTGTATTTTTTCCTGCTTTTATCCCTGGGATCAACAGCGCACACCTTGCTAAGGTCAATACCGGCCTCTGATTACTCTTGTGTTGCTTTATAGGAGTCGGGGAAAGTAAATGGCTGGTGTATTTCTCCAGGACAGACATCTGCGTTTGGGCCGGGACCACAGTAACACTGCCGTGCCGCTA